CTGTCCACTGGGAGACTCCCATGTCCAATGTTTTGATTCGGCCTTCCGGAACTGTGAGTTACCATTGATGTTTTTGGTCAACATGATGAACTCAGACAGTCTCTCACCCTGTTAATTCCATTCTAGGCCATGGGTCCTAATGTGGAGTTCTTTGGGAGATCTTGTCGGTCCTATCTTGGCATTAAAATCACCGACAATGATCTTGTAGAAGGTGTGGTCTTCTTTATAGAACTTCTCCAGCTCCATGTAGAATTTCTCAATTTCTTCTTCATCGTAGTTGGATGTTGGTGCGTAGACAACAAAGATAGAAACTGCCGGCAGTGAGTCACATCTATTCAAGCATAAGCATCTGATTCGGGATGTTGGGCATTCGAATGAATCAATACTCATGGCCAAGTTCTTGTTGACAAGGACACCGACACCACCAACACCTCTTTTGTTGCATGTTCCGAGGAACAGTTCTCCAGTGTCAAAAGTGGTGTTATGTGGTTGATGCCTTCTCGTCTCCTCCACTACCTCCACTACACAACTGCCCCCACGCTCCAGGCCACTTTCTGGATGTTCAGGCCGAGCCTCACACATGAGAGAAGCCCCACAGAACCAGGTAAGTGGAACTTTGTGAACTTGGACTCCACGCTCAATGGAACCTCGAAATAGAGATCCTCTGATGCTTCCATCAATCTCTTGCGACCCAGGGATCACACCCAGAAGCCCCACCCTGCTGGTGCCAGATAAATACCTCATCTGCCAACCTCCACATCAGCCAACCTCCACTACCTCTGCTATCTCCACTACCCAGCCACTACCACTCTCCAGGTCATTTTCCGGACACATCATAAGACACTTAATACCCATCTTCCAAGATTACCATACCATATTTGATGGTGTGCAAATATGGTGTGAACCATGGGAACACCTATAAGGGCAATTAGAGGCCTCCCTAAAAGCCTCCAACCCTCTTAGAGAGCCCGGCAAGCTACCAAGAATATCCCGCCCACAAGGCAGAGCCTGGCAAGCTACCCATGGCATATTCGATATGCCAAAAACAGTAAAAACGATGGGCCTCATTCCCCTGACCCTGAAAGAGTCCCCAATATGGAAGCACTAAGAAGGATGAGCAAGGAGAGGCTGATAAAATCTCAGGGCCGAACTAGGCTGCCAAAATGAAGAAGGACTAAAATGACTGTCTGTATTTTCAACGCACATACGCTGGCATCAGAAGCATCCACAGAGAACCTGATGGTGCAAGCACAGAAGACCAAGTATACTACACCATTGGTCTGACTGAGATGAGAAGGCATAATATTAATTATTCACATATAATTTAGAACTAGCTGGAAGAAATATCTTGAAATAATAATTTTTCCCAAAAATGCTACTCGGAGAGCCCGGCAAGCTACCGAGAGTATTCGATATGCCAGACACAGTAACAACAAAGTCTCCAATGGAGACGTTACTGGGCCCGCTCGAGCAAATCGACGATCAACGGGAGGGCCTTTACCTTTTACCTTTACCAAAAAATGAAAATAATTAACCTATTTTCTTAAATACCTCATGTCAGATTCTTTTTTTAAAAAAGATTTTATTATTGAATCAGATGGGCTGGACATGTAATGATATTTGGAGACGACTGCTGGACTAGAGCCATTACCAACTGGATTCCACAAGACATCAAAAGATGGCATGGCTGCCCACCTATGAGATGGTCAGACTTCTTCGTCAAGACCCTGAACAATCAGTTTGAGGCTGTTCATATTCGTAGAATGAGCAGATGCCATTGGGCTACACTAGCACGTGGCAGGGACAAACGGAGATGTTACTGGCACCCACTCGAGCAAATCAATGAATAACGGGATGTCAAGTGATCAAGTGATTATTGAATCACTGTAAGATAGATCTTTAGAAAGCTGTTCATAATTAGGTTTTGGTCGTACAGTTTTCCAACACCTGTCCTTCCACCAGTTTATATTTCCCATCACCAATGTCACCAGTTTCTCTCTTATCTCTCACAATCATCCCTCTCACGCCCTGCCTGTCCTCTAAGTTGGCACTTCTTTCCCTCCCCTCCCCTCCCCTCTCCTCCCGTCCCCTCCTTTCCCCTTCCTTTCCCTTCCCTTCCCTTCCCTCCCCTTCCCTTCCCTTTCTCTCTCCTTTTGGGCATTGTGGTTAATGTTACAGATACTGAAATGTTATCTGATATATCCCTTTACCTACTTTAACTCAGTTTTTGCCCAGCATGATCATTTCCAGTTTTTATTGTCATTCTTGTTCTTTCTCTATCTTACCTTCCCTCTGCCCCACACTCACTTGTGTTTGATTTCAACCATTGATCAGTCCTCCTAGACCATGTTTTCCATTTATAGGCAAATTTCATGACTTCATTTTCCCTCACAACTGAATAATATTCTATTGTGTCGGTGTACCATAATTTCTTTATCCACTCATCTGTTCTCAGGCACTCAGGTTGTTTCCAGACTCTGGCTGCTGTAAATAGTGTTGCAATGAACATAGGGGTGCAGATGGTGTTTCCACTGTGTGTTTTCATGTCCCCAAGGTATATTCCTAGAAGTGTTATTACTGGGTCATATGGAAGCTCAATTTCTAGTTTTTTGAGGAATGTCCATATTGTTTTCCCAAAAGGCTGGACCAGTTGGCCTTCCCACCAACCATGAAGGAGTGTTCCTTTCTCCCCACATCTGCACCAGTACTGGTTGCTTTTGTTCTTTTGGATGTGTGCCAGTCTCTGTGGTGTGAGATGATACCTCATTGTTGTTTTGATTTGCATCTGCCTGATAATTAGTAATGAGTTTTTTTTAATGTACCTTTTACCCATTTTGAATCTCTTTTTAGAAAAAGTTTTTGTTCATTTCTTCTCATTTTTTGATGGGGTTGGGTGTGCCATGTTCTAGCATAACTTTAAAAATGCTTACTTTATACAAGCACTTGAATCTCCTTATTTTTAAGTTATGTATTTATATGGAAAATGGGGAACATATTTGTTTCTTATTTTAAAAAATACTTACCTCTAAACTTGAGTTTTAAACTCTCTTAGGTCTGTAATAAGATTTTGCAACCATTTGCTCTAAAACAGATTGGGAATACTTACACAGATACAGTGGCCTGTATGACTAACAGCTCAAATATTGTAAGGAGATCCTCAAATAAAAAAGAAAGACTAGGAGCCAGTGCAGGGGATAAGGTTCTCAACAGCAAATGGTCTTGGATCCCTGACACCATGTTTTGTCCTCAAGGCTAGAAGTGATCACTGAGCACAGAGCACTAAGCTACAAGAAAGTCCTGAGTAATGTAAAGTTTAATGAATAAAAAAAATTTCATTTTTACTCAGAGTTAAAAACAGCAGAGAAATCTGCTCAAAATATACAATTTATCATCAAAAGGTTTAAATGTAGACGAGTAGAAAATTTAATCAAAGTAAATTGGATGGATTAAGTGCCACTACTTTCTTAGAAAAAAAGCAGAATAGACACAAAGGTCACTATAATATAACAACACAAACAACATGTCTTTGAAAATGATAAATGCCCTTCTTTCTAGGAAGTTTATATCTGATTGTAATTTCAGTCCTACCTGAAAACCAAGAAAACATTTTTGTACAGTTTTAATAAATTCTTTTTCCCAAACCAAGTTATCATTCAAGTTTACATTTTTAGGGAGAAGAGCTCACCTGACTTTACTCCTGGTTCTGCACTCAGGGATCACTCCTGGCAGTGCTCAGGGGTTGTAAAAGATGCCAGGAATTGAAACTGAAATGACCGTGTGCCAGACAAGCTGTACTAGCAAGCTGTACCTGCTAAACTAGCGATTCAGCCCTGCAAAGTTTTTGAGCTTCCCATGAGTTTCACAAGTTCACAACAGCATCTATATGTTCAGTGACACTAGAAAGACTGATGGAACGCAAGATACATTTGTACTGACAGTTACTGTTGATTACAACTTTATGTAACTGAATATAATTATATTATTCTGAATATACAATTATTATATCCTGATGCATGTATGTATATATAGATATAGATATTTTAGAACCAGTAAATATGACACAGGAGGAATCTGAAGAAAAATCCATTACAAACTTTCAGTGCTTTCTGGGGTCCTGCAATCAGACACACCCAGTTCGCTCCTTTCTCTACAAGAAAAATGTATGTGATACTGTGCACTTTTTGTTCCCAGGAAAACAGATAAAGACTAAGTGCCAAGATTTTTGTATGAGTTGATCACATGAACACTCTTTGTCTGGAAATTAACCCGAATTTTGTATAGTTAGGGCAAAGCAGCATTCACCACAAATCTAGGCATTTGTAAATCTAGGCAGAGTAAGTCAAGCTTATCCAGTACACATCCTAGAGAACATTCCAAAGCCAAGTTCCCAAATGCCCTAGTAGGACAAAGCTTTCTATCAGGTTCTTCTGGAGATAGCAGTATTGCTGTATTAATTCTATTCTACATATCATTCTTTAAATCAAGTATCTTTGTCAGAGGAAATATAAAATTTATGTTTATCTACCTTTGTATGTCTAAATAAGCAGTTATATTCAACTATGGATGTGATCACTGGAATTATTGCAAGCAATTATAATTATCAGATACTGGTAAAATTCTCACTACTAACTTTAATAGCAACTTTTTATTATAGACATAATAATTCCTATGATTATTATTTTCTTATAGTTAATTTAATCACACTTTTTCAAAGTTAATTGATACTTAATTATTCACATTTGATTACACAATTTAATTAACTTGTAGTTAACTTATGGTTAATTCATTTACAGTTAAACACATAGTTAACTTATAAGTTATTCACATTTGTTCACATACGAAGAAAATATTTGTTCAAATACATTAATTTGTTCAAAGACCATTAAATTACTTAAAGTACTTTAATTTGATGTGATAATAAAAATCTAAGGAGGCTATGTAATAGATTCTTTCCTTCTTGTTTTACTTTTTCTCTTCTAATCTTTTATCTTTTTTAACAGGACAGATTTTCTGCAGTTTAAGAAACAACCATGGAGTTCAGACAAGTGAAGAATTATTTATCCTGGCTCTACTATCAATACCAAATAATTAGTTGTTGTGCTGTCCTAGAGCCCTGGGAACGATCCATGTTTAATACTATATTACTTACTATTTTTGCTATGGTGGTATACACTGCTTATGTTTTTATTCCAATCCACATCCGCCTGGCTTGGGAATTTTTCTCCAAAATGTGTGGCTTTCACAATACAATTTCTAATTGATCTTGTTTGTATCTTGTCAATTGGCATCATAATTGTACGTGTATATCTGACTTAAAACTTATTAATTTAGCTGAATGTGAGGAGGTCACGGTGTCAGGACTGTGAGCTCCCTTGTGACCCAGCAATACCACTTCTGGGAATATACCTTGGGGACCCAAAACTCTACTGCCTGACTTGAAAAGCTTCTTCTCTATGCACTCCTTTACCCTGTCTGCAATTTGAGATAGATGTCTCTTTAGGCTCTTTTGCACATGCTACATTGCGTAATGTTACCTCGCATACCATATTCTCAAAATTCAAACCTGTGACTTTAAATTTTGTTTTTAATCCAGAAATTTTATATAAATTTTTTTCTGCAGATGTATAAGAGAACTATCAGACCTATCATATTTAATCTGCTTCTAGATACCTATTCAGTACTAAAGGACATACTTTTAAAAAATTGTTTACAGGTTCTTGGCTTTCTATCAGAAACATTCCATCCTTGTTTATAATATTATACATGCAATTATATATTTGAAGATGTTATAAAGTTATCCTAATATCTTATTTTTGATAAGTAGTTAATTTCCTAAATAATCTTACTTCCAGCTAAAATACATTAGACTAGAGATAATTATCCTTTCAGACATGCTTCATGAATTGTTTTCAAATGCCCCCAAAAACTTTTGTGTTTTTGCCATACGGAGGATACTCAGGAGTTACTCCTGGCTCTGCATTTAGGAATTTATCCTGGGAGTGCTCAGGGGACCACATGGAGTACCGAGGTTTAAACCCGGGTTGGCTGCATGCAAGGCAAGCGCCCTTCCTGCTGTTCTATCACTCTGGCCCTGTAAGTCTTTTCATTTTTTCATGTTTAAAATCAACATTGCTGATTTTAGATAACTTCATATTACAACACAAAATAATTTAAATTATTAAAAACAAAATATAATAAAAATAAATTTAGATACTGTGATGTTACCTTGCCTTGCAAGATATGGGGTATAGAAAAATAAATTGTTTTCTGCTCCTTCACTGAGTAGAGAGAGTGCTGTTGGAGTGAAATTTTTTTTTACAGAAAGAAAAGCTAATAGATGAAAAGTAATATTCTACCAGTAGAAACTTGATGCCCTCAGCTAAATGATTTGACATACAGACTCATTTGAAGAGCAATTAGTATTTCCCAAGTATTTCCCAATTATTCTTCAAAGTGTTTTTCTTTAAAATATACAAGCTCCTGACTTCTTCAAGTTTGTGTTCTCCCTTGAACATGTCTTTTGCTTACTTGTCTTTTTATTTGCCATCCGATTTTCACAATGGGGAAGCCTGTATTCTACCTTAAACGTGTTTTTCTTTTTCTCTCCTCACATTTTTCTAAATGTTTCAATAAAAAGAGTCTTCCTCACCAAAAATAGGAGAAATGAAAATGAAATATACAAGTTTTTAATTATACTGCTGAATCGAATATGGATGCCAAAAACCAAACATGGATGTTTTTCTCTCCTCTTAATAAGTATTGACTTTTGTAATACTGATGGATAAAATGTGAATAAGTTTCAGATGACATATACACCCTTATTGTGTTATAAAAATAGTGAAAAAAGCTACAATGCCAGATAATTACGCATGTTTGTTTAAAAAATCAAATGCATTTTAAAGAAAACCAAAGTGATGTGCTTTTATCAGTTTTGCAAAATGATTTAGATTAAATTTTATAAATAACATCAGTTTTCAGGTTTGGTGTTACTCATTTTACTCTAAATATGAAATTGCTTACATATGAGTTTCTCTTCAAATTAATCATTGCTTACTATGTATAAACTAATCTGAAAACAGTAATCCAAAACTATTATGTCTTAAACTCTTCTCCATGGTGGGCATAGTTCACACATTGAAGTAGGCAGTAATGTTTCCTCTTAACAGACATGCTATCTGTTGAAAGCACATTTCATGCTTAAGGTCTTATAGCTACATGTAGCAAAACTAGGAAGCAAATCCAGCCTTGGGCTAAACTGGGCACTGAGATATTAGCCACACGTAAGCCCAGGAGAGGGCAATGCAAACAAATGAGAGTCGATGGAATCAGGATCATCAATGTGTTTGGGAGCACATCATGAAACAGAAAGGACAAGAGCACACAGTGACAGCCGAAACGGACAGATAACAACAAAAAGCTCAAGATTTAGCTTTTGCCTTTGCTGCTCACCTAGATACTGTGTCTACATACTTCTATACTATCCAGGCTCATAGGACCAATTTAAAAGACTGCCTTCACAGTGAACTATTTCAAGAGAATTCTTAGTAAAGTATGAATGTGAATGCATTTCCAGCTCACAGTGATTATATACCTTTGAAAGACACAGATCGCTACTAACATTAACAGATATACTGCGTTGATCTTAAAATATTTTTCTAAAAATAATTAAAATTGATGCGAATAGCCCCAGTAAAATTTAAAAATATATATGGCAGATCGCTGTCCCATGTGACTTGTCAAAGGTAAACATTTCCTCTCACAGTCAAAACTTTTTTTTTTCTTTTGGTTTTTGGGCCACACCTGGCAGTGCTTAGAGCTTACTCTTGCTTGACTCTGCAATCAGGGATCACTATTGACAAACTCCAGGGAACACATGGGACGTTGGAATCTCTCTCAGGTCTGCCTCTTGAAAAGCAAGCACCCTAACCACCGTCCTATCCAGCTCCCAAAACTTTACAAATGGGAAGAGTGCACACGCAGCCGTTTGCAGTTTGCACTTAGGGTTTGTGCCTTGCTCTGGCTCAGGAAACACTCCTGCTGGTGCTGGAGACCCCATATAGCGAAGCTTTCATGGGTCAGAGAAATAGTATAGCTAATGAAGCATTTGCCTTGCATATAGCTGGCCCAGGTTTAATCGCCGACGCCTTATGTAGTACACTGAGTCCTGCCCGGAGTGATCTCTGCACACAGAGCAAGAACACTGGGGTTGGGCCAAAATGAAACAACAGCAACAACAACAAAATCAAAACACTCCCATAATTTTGCATTGCTTAAAAAAAAAATTGGAGGGGGGTAAAAAATCGCATTGGCTTATGACATTGTATAGATTTCAGATATCATTATAAATCAGCACATATATACACATACATTTATACTACACCACCACAACTCCAGTATTGTTGATGCCTATTTTATCCATATTCCATCTTTTAACAACCTTAACTTTTTCTGATCCCATAAAAATCCTGTGATTTAATTTAGTTGATTTGTATTGTTGCTCTATATACCACATAATAATGCATCTATCACTAAGCCTGGCAGACCGTGGGGGCTTCGGGGGTGCAGCGCAGGCAAGGGGCACCACATGATCCTGGGGCAGGTAGAACCAGCACAGGGCTGTACTCAGGTCCCCGGGACAGGCAGTGCCATTACGTGGAGGTCCTGGGGGCCGGCCAGGGGCTGGCCCCAGTAGGAGGTGGGGGAAATACGAGGCAATCCTCCTTCCCAGGGAAGCTGCCGCCTCAGGCTGGCCTCAGGGTCCTCACTGGGGTTGAGCCATATCAGGATAGACACCAGGGACCCAAAGGGGGACCTGCTGGCTTGGCCAGGTCCCTGGGTGCCCAAATGGGGTGGGATGGGCCCAGCCGGCCTCAGGGAGGCCCTAGAGACTTTGAGGGTTAAAACAGGCAGGCTGGGGGTGTGGCAGGGCCATCCCCCCGGGCCATCCCCAACTGCCCTGGGTGCAGGGGTCAATAGGCACTGCCCGGGGTGGTAGGCCCTGGGGGCTGGGACTGGCTGTGGCAGACCTCTTGGGCCCCAGCTTGGTTGTGTGGCCAGCTCAGGACTGAACAAGGGGGCCCAAGAGGGGCTGGACCAGACCAGAGCTGGTCCCAAGGTTGCCCTGCTGGTGGACCTAGGCCTGGGTGCCCTCAGTTTCCAAAAGGGTGCTGGGTGGGGCCGTCCTGGGGAGATCCCCGTGACCCCCAGGTGGATCCTGCAAGCGAAGGGCGTGACCCCGGCGCCCCAGAGTGGCAGGACAGTCCAAGAACACCCTAGAAACTGGGATTGTGGGTCCGGACCAGGGTGGCCAGGGGGCCACATGGAAGTGGCCCTAAGCGGGTTCTAGGCCCCAGGGAATGTGGGTCTGGCCCAAGGTGAGGCCAGAGAACCCGGTGTAGGGGAACAAGGCTGTTTCAGGGAAGGGGGGTTCGGCTGGCGAGGGTTAACCCCCAGGAGAACCAGGACGGGGGAGGCGCGGGCCTGAGGCACGCCCTCTGGCCCGGGAGGCCAGGAAGGAGAAGAGTGCAGGGGAAAGGGGGGGGGCCCTTAGAGGAGGGGCCAACCCCCGGCAAGACCAGGGCCCAAGGATGCGGGGCCTGTCCTGAGAAAATCCTGAGGGCCAAAGGGGGTCAGAACAGGTGAGTCAGGCAGGCCACAGGAGCCGGTCCTAGTGACTCTAGGAGGCACAGTGCCATCAAGGGCAGGCCTGTGAAGATACCAGGTGGGGTGTGACAGGCCAGGAGAGGGCTCCAAGCGCCTCGTGGGAAAGGCTTCTGGAGCCATCACAGGGCAGGACTCAGTGGCCATGGAGGTGCTGGCTCATCGCGGGGAGGGTTCTGGAATCTCGCGCGAGGAGCAGGGCTCCTGCTCAGATCATGGTCTGAGGACCGTGGTGGAGTGGGCAGGCCTGGGAGGGTCCAGGAAACCCAGGAGTGGTGGGGCCTGGTCTGTTCCCTGGTGACCCAAGAGATGCAGGGTTGGACCAGGAGTGGTCAGTGCAGTCAGGGACCAGGCTGGAGGCTCTAGGGTTGCATGGCTACCCGGAGTGTCCCTCCGGGCCCCAGGGATGGGGTAAGCTGTAGGAGGTCGGGGATGGGGGGGGGGGGGGGGCAGGGCACCAGAGAACTCAACACAGCCCAGGACAGGCCCTGGGTGCACCAGGGTGAACAAGGTTGCCCAGGGACAGCACTCGGGTGCCTTGGGGCCGGACTATGCTGGGCAGGCCCTGGTCATGCACCCTACTAGAGCTGGGGTCCTAAGACAGGCCGGGGCCCCATTCGGTGCAGGGTCTGGCCAGAGAGTCCATCAGAGCATGAGGGGAGGGGCCTGACAGGGGACCCAGGGTGGGGACTGGGCATTCGGACAGGCCTTGACCTGGATTGGATTGAGCCAGCAGGGCTCAGGAGGAGCAGGGCAGGCCCAGTGTGAACCCTGGGTCCTTGGGATGGCAGGACAGGGCAGGGCTGGACCCTGGTAACCCTGGTGTGATGGACCCCAGAGCGGTCCCAGGGTCACCGTGGAGTGGACCGCCTGGGCATGGCCCAGGGGAGCCAGAAGGGATGCATCCTCCCTGTGAGTGCCCTAGGCCTAGGGGCCCCAGCGGTG